TTAGATAAATATATATGCTTCATGCAGGTTCATGACTTAAACTTTCTAGATCAAGTGTATTTTTTAGCAATGTAAAGTATATTTCCTCCCCATGTGATATTCTTTGAATTCTATTTCACTTTCAGTGCATACTTGCCTAGTGTATCTTTTTATATTCAACTGTTTTAAACTTTTCAGTGATTTTATTTTAGTTATCTCTCTCATAAATAGCATTTAGCTGGATTTTGACTGCTAATTTTATCCAGAGTCTCTGTGCTTTAACAAGTGATTTTATTTTATTTATTTTTAGTATTTTTTAACCTATTGATGGATCTTTATTTTATTTATTTATATGTGGTGATGAGAATCAAACCCAGTGCCTCACACATGCTAGGCAAGCGCTCCACCACTGAGCTACAACCCCAGCCCTTAACAAGTGATTTTAATACACTCACATTTACCGTGATTACTGCTGTGTTTACAATTAGACTGCTACCCTATGTGTAACTCAGCTCCAGTTCACAATGGATTTCTTTCCTTCCTTACCCACTCCAACTTGGCCCTGTGTTCAGTCTTTGTATTGTTCCCTCTACTTGCCTATGATTTGCTGCCTCTCTATGTTTATTGTAGCAGGATGCCCTGCCTTTCCCTAACTAAGGCCTCTCTCAAGCTATCTCTTTAGTATGCTTTTTAAAATAGCCATTATGACCTAAACTGGTCTATTTACCGTATTACTTACTCAATGTCTGTTTCCCTCACTTAAAGTTCACGTGGGCACCAATCTCATCTGTCTTTTTCAGGGTGTTTCTGAAGATTCATGAGACAAACTGGACTTAAGAGTACAGCTTTTGCGGCATTAGGAATGGCAAAATGAGTATCTCATAAAAGTGATATTTTTTTTCCAAAAATCAATCTGTTTACTGAATGCAAAATACCTATTTTTTTTTTTAAGAGAGAGAGGGAGAATTTTAATTTTTTTTTTTTTTTTTTTTTAGTTTTCGGCGGACACAACATCTTTGTTTGTATGTGGTGCTGAGGATCGAACCTGGGCCGCACGCATGCCAGGCAAGCGTGCTACCGCTTGAGCCACATCCCCAGCCTCGCAAAATACCTATTTTAGAGGATATTTCATTTTTAAGCACCTTTTTCACTAAACACTACATATGTTAAACATTAAAAGGGAATCTTTGGGGTCTGGGGTTGTGGCTCAGCAATAGAGCACTCGCCTAGCATGTGTGAGGCCCTGGGTTCAATTCTCAGCGCCTATAAAAATAAATAAATAAAATAAAGGTGTCCAACTACCAAAAAGCGGGGGAGGGTCTTTAGAGTTTTTTTTTTTCTTCCCCAACTTGGCAAATAAGGAAATTCAATTTTAGAAATGGTACAAGTATTCAGTTTCAGGTGAAAATATAAAGTTTTTTTGTCAGTATAAATTCTCCTGCTCCTGATTAAGTTATTTACTATTTGCCATTTTGGGCAAAAAGTTCATTTCAAAACAGCAACTGCCTTCATAGAAGAAAAGAGAGAATCTTTTTCATAATTAAATACTGGTTGTCTCGAATCAAAAGGTGTCTTTCTAAGACTGTTGAGGGAAACATGTTAGCCAGTCCAACAGACACTTTAAGTTTAGGGTAGGTATTCAGAACTTTGTTCATTCAGTGGATTGGCTCTTTCTTTGCCAAACGTGATTTATAGATGTACATAATCCATACCCTATATACTTCTTTGATGCTTCTGATAAGAGTACAAGAGACTCAAAGGAGAATAACAAAGAAATTTTAAAACCATATAATGTTAATAAAATATGAATACATCCTTGTCTCTGAATTTCTGTAGGACCTAGCAGGAAAAAAGCAGCCTATGTGAAGAAACCTACACTTCTAAAAACATTTTCAAATGAGACTTTCAAGGGTTAAAAGTCAGGTTTCAGCACCATTGAATGCTGTCCCCAGAGATTCTGATTCCCTATGTCTAGGGCAGGACCTGAGAAACTGCACTTCTCATGAATTTCCAGGTAATGCCAACACTGCTAGTCTAGGGACCACTTTGAGGCCAATGCTTGCTTTGGGATTACGGTCAGAGCTATATATCAAGAATACCAAGACATTAGAGCTTTCCATTTGATCTTTGGTATTTTCGGATATAGCAATTCATGTATATATCCCACTTCAATTTTCTTTCATTGTTTAGTTGAAATGCTCTTAAAAGAAAATTTAGAAGATAAATTCTCTTGAAAATCTGAAGGTAAAAATACAGCAGAATTTTATATATTAGGATAGGTTGGTTTAAACATATACAAATCCAAATAATTTAGAACAAGAGTCCCAACAGCAATGCCTCTAAGTGTCAGGTCAGACAGTTAATACAAATGAGTAAAGTGGGCCAGACACTGTGAAGAATTGAAGATGCCATACTCAAAGAGGGCACCTGCTACTGAGCTCCAGACAATACCCAATAATATAGGATAGACTGTAAAAAATCTTCCAAGTTTTCAAGATAACATTGTATCTCTCAAGTTTTAAATCAACTAAAAGTTTTTGTGTATAGAACACACAAAAAGATCTGTGGGCTGGATACTGCCAATTTATGGCCTCTGAGTTAGAAGAATGCAGATGGGCCATATGTGAGCCTATTCACAGTGCCCACGGGTCCATTCCTTCTAGCAATCCCTTACTTCCAAAATAGAAAACACTCTTTAAAGACATACAAAAAGTTCCTTTGTATAAATAACTTAACCATCAAAACAAGTTCTCTGCCAACGATCTTAGTACGGGCAAACTATGGCAAAGAGAAATGAATTCTTCATGTATTGGAACTATTGATCTAAGATAATGAATTGCATTAAAGTGGTATTCCAGGAGAACCTAACTTCTGTAATTTAAAAACCAAAGATAGGAAGAAAGACAATTAGACCTAGACACAGAGATTTAAGGATTCTTAAGAATTCTCTCCCAATGATGGTATGATCTAGTAACTGAAAGTTATTTAAACACCTTCTCTTACAGATTCATTGAACTGGCCTTACAAATATGTTGAAGACAACTACACAGGCAATATGGAATAGCAAGCACAAAAGTGAAAAAGATGAAAGCCAAAGACCTAGAAGAGAGGAGAGGTAAAGGGTGAACTGCATCTTTGGTCCTTTGTAAGTAAAAACACTGCACCTATGTTCAGAAAATCTGTAGTTCAATTGTCTATTAACACAGCAACTAGAAAAATAATTATAAAACAAAAAGGATCAAGTCACCTCTGGCCAATGGTTTTCCATTCTACTTCAAGTAGAAGTCCTTCCCACACAAAGCCCTACGCTATCTGGCTCTCCCTTACACTGTGATCTCCTTTACTGTTCCACCCCCAAGCCATTCCTGACATACTATCTCTTTAACACATCAAGCAAGTTCTTGCCTCACGATCGTTGCATCTGTTTTCTCACTGCCTGAAAACCTCTTCTGGATGTTCACATAGTTCACTTCCTCATCCTCTTACCAACAAGGACTTCACTGACTACTCTTTTACTTTAAAAAGTTATGTGCACATGTGTATGCATGCAGCACATGTGCATGTGCGCGTGCTCACACACCCACACACCCACACACATGCCCCATCTTTCTCCTCTTACCTCCCTTTTGCTTTATATTTTCCACAATACACACCACACCATCTGACATGCTAAATGTTTTACTTATTTTCCTTCTTTATTCTATAGCATGCCTGTAATCCCAGCAACTTGGGAGGCTGAGGCAGGAAGAATATAAGTTTGAGACCAGCCTCAACAACTTAGCGAGATCCTGTCTCAAAATAAAATAAAGATGGCTGGCAATAAAGCCCAATGGTAGAGCACCCCTGGATTCAATCACCAGTCTAAAGAGAAAAAGTTTGACTAAATAAATTAATGAACACTTGGGTTCTAATATGGGTTCTGGGTTCTACTCAGTTAAATAAATTCAGGTGATTTAAAAGATCTCTATCCTTAATAAACTATGACATTTTACAAAAGTAGTAATTAAGTTAGGGAAGAATAACATCACTTCCTCTAAGCCAGTCTGCAGTGTAGTGGAAAGCCAAAATTAGTAAGGCTCCCAGACTTAAATCTAATGCCCAAACTAAGATCTTTTATAAACAACAACAAATTATGTTAGCTGAATACCAAACTTCAGAATTTAAGAATGTAAAAACAAAAAATTTCCAAACAGAAAAATGTTTTCTAGAAAGGAACATAAACTCCTTAGCTTACTTTATTGCACAATTTTTTATTGCCTCTAACTCTTTAAGTCCCTGTGAACATTACTTAGGGTCTGTGGGGAAAGGACAATGCTCCACAAGCAGTGGAAGGAAAACCACATCCAGTTTTTCACAAGAAACTTTGGAATAATTTAATATTCAGCCTCTAGAAGACTCAGAATAATCGTCTCACACTAAAATTAGGAGAACAGTTATCAAAACAGCAAAGGCACTACAAAACAGTGTCAACTGCCCTTTAGTCTAATTCTTAAATATAAGATCACAACCACAGGGCTGGGGTTGTGACTCAGCGGTAGAGCGCTCACCTAATATGTATGAGGCTCTGGGTTTGATCCTCAGCACCACGTAAAAATAAATAAATAAAATAAAGGTATTGTGTCCAACTACCACTAAAAAATAAAAAAATAAATAATAAAAAAAGATCACAACCACAAACAAACTACTAAAGACAGTCACATCTTCATTTGATGTCTGAATATTTCTTTTACCACTAACAATTTCAAACTAGACAAAAAGAAAAATGGCAAACAAATAAAGGATTTTTAAAGCAAAAGAGATGCCATTAATCAGGGACCCCGGAATTTCTCAGATGTCAGTAAAAATATTTCAACCTCATGAGGCCCTTAGCCCCAGAGATGTTGACAGGAGCCGTTGCAGGTCATACTGCCTAGGAAAATGCTCCTATGCTCAGGCATTTCAGTAAAATGAAAGCTCTGGATATGTGGTATTTTGGATCACTTCCCCCAGAAGATAGAACCCTTTATTTCAACAATACTCACAAACTCATAGTCTCCATCCTGTGGAACTTTCCAATCTGAAGAATTTTTCAGTGGGCCAGGTACACTCTTACCAAAGCTATTGATTTGGTTTTCCTTTTCTTTTTGTTCAAAGTATTCAAGAAAAGATGGTTTTGCAGGTTGCATGGTCTCATCCCTTCCTATAAACCAAGAAAAGTAAAAGGTGAATAGGCATACACTTTTATTTTAGGTAAGTTTAGTAAATAAATAGATCTCCAGATTGGCTATGTCTCCAGTTAGATCAGGAGTTTATCAAGAAAAGTTACCCTAATATATCAGAAAGACCAATGGGTCTTTCTGTTAGATGCTCTTTCAAGAATCTAATGAAACTATAGAAAAACGCACAAATGCTCAATCAAAATATTCCTTATACAAGAGAATTCAAGGTCCCCCTTAAAACAAATGCCCACACACATGGTTCCTTTTTCTAGATAGAAAGTTTTGGGTGTTGCAATGACTCTGAATAAGTTGAATATAATAATTTTAGGTCTTCCATAGTCAATAGTTCCTGTAATATTCAGACTGGAAAACACTTCAGAAAAAAGTAAATATATTTATTTAGCACCCACCAAAGACAATATTCTCTACAGGCATTTCCATAAGGAGTGGGGATGATATATTAGGGTAACTTTTCTTGATAAACTCCTGATCTAACTGGAATGAGAAAAATATGTGTGAAAAATAAAATATATGTAAATCATAATCTATCTAACTTGGAAATATTATTTCTAAATAATATTTGGAAATGCTTCACAATAAAGTTATGGGGAAAAACAACATTATATATACAGTATGATCTCAATTCAGTAAAATCATATTGATGGGGGGAAATGACTGTAAGAATACATACCAAAATGTTAACAGGGTTTATCTTTGGTAGTGGGACTATAACTAATTCTTATTTGCTATAATTTCTTTAATACATCTTTTAAACTTTTTTAAAGAAGATAGTACTGGATACATATTAAATAAACATAATTGATTATAAGAGCTACATGTGTCCATAAGATCTTGCAGGCTGGGTGACCAGGAAGATTGGTAAAGAAGCTGGGTCTCAAACCACCTCAGAGAATAGAATCAGTGGTTGGCGGCAGCAGCAGTTATCAAAGGAAAGCAAATACAGCAATTACTAGTAACTCGTAACAATGGCAAAAAGAGTAATTTTACCTGGCATGATTTCAAATTCTTGCTAGATGAATGCACCTATTTCACATGTTGAAGTACCATGTGCCTGTGGTCATAATGCTAATATGGGGAAATATAGGAAGTTTTTTCCTCAGTGCTTTCCATGAATAAAGGGCTTACATAGCCCTTTTCCTCAGTAACCAGAAAGGAGGACCAGAATATTCAGAGCCTTAAGAAAGGGATGGGGGCTGAGGTTGTGGCCCCCTAGCACATCATGCGAGGCCCTGGGTTCAATCCTCAGTACCACATAAAAATAAATAAATAAAATAAAGGTATTGTGTCCACAACTACAACTAAAAAATAAATATTTAAAAAAAGAGAGAAAGTAATGGATGGAGAGGTGTTTCTCTCCAGCAACACTGTCCTATGTGATCTTACTTATCTCACGACACTCACCTAAGTGTAATTTCAAGCCAGAACCCTGACTGCCCCTCAGATGTTTGTCATCTTCCTATCATCACTGCCAAGGTCAACAGTAGTCAGTCCCAGATCTGCCTACTTCCAGATGCCGCCAATAGCTTTTCAGACTTTAGCCTCTTTACTTATAGAGGATTAAACACCGTATTTGCTAGCACCGGTCAATGAATACATGGTGTTTTGTTCGGTGTACTCTAGATATAACTTTAGGTGCTTTATGGTATTAGGTACTTTTCATGCTTACTCTGTTTAGTTTTTAAGTTAAATTTCAGGTAATATTTCATGCCATAGTTTTTCAGGAACTACAAAAAAAAAAAACTTATAAAAATGGTAGTGCTTTGGATTTGCAAATGTGTTAGGAAGCTATGTTCTTTTGCCTCATTCCCTTCCTGTGGGACCAGAGGAGAGGACTGCTTCAGAGGCAACTCTGCAGCAATCCAACACGTAATTCTACACATAAAGTAAGGAGTGTTCAAAGAATCTCTAAGAGCCAAGCAATCTCAATAGTACTACCAACTTGACATGTTCAGAAATGGTATATATCATGACCAGACACTGAGCAGCTAAACAGAATAAAAAGTCCAGAAACAAGATAAAAAGAACAAGTGGTTACCCAACAAATGGATAGCTATTTGAAAAAGATTACTTTGGATCCATATCTCATACCATAAGCCAGAAAAACTCCAAATGGACAAAGGATCTAATTGTAAAAATGGAAAACATAAATACTAAAAGAAAATGTGTGAATGCATGTGGAAAAGACTATGACAAAAATCCAGATGCAATAAAAATAGATAAAAATTGTTTTCATAAGAAAAAGTCACAAATTTTTAAAAAATGAATAAGCACACATATACTGTAAGTCAAACCAAAAGACAAATGATAGAGGCTGGGGGCAGTGGCGCACACCTGTAATCCCAGCAGCTCGGGAGGCTGAGGCAACTCAGTGAGACCTAGTCTCTACATAAAATACAAAATAGGGCCGGAGATGTGGCTCAGTGGTTGAGTGCCCCTGTGTTCGATTCTGGTAAGTCTCCCCCTCCCCCCAAAAAGACAAATGATAAACAGAAAGAAAACATTTACAACAAATACCATAACATTTAAAAAAAAAATTTTAAAGACTATTTCAAGAACTCTTTATGTATTAGGGAAGTAAGCTCCCAATATGTAAAGAATTTTTTGAATCAAGGAAGACTAAAAAAGGTGAAAAAATGGATTAACAACTCAAAAAGACAGTACACAACAGATACCCAATTGGTCTTTACACATGAAAAAAATAAATGCTTAGGTTCACTCATAGTGAGAGAAACACAACTAAAATTTATATTTCAAAGGGCAATACACTCTTGGTAAGGCTGGGGGATAAAGGCACACTGAATGTTGTGGAACTGGAGTACACAAGGCACCACCCCTACAAAGGGGGTCTAGCACTGAGTATTAAACATGAAACAGAGAGGCACCGGAGAGCTCTGAACATTTGAACTGGAGGTCTTAATATGATCTCATTCTTTTTTTGAAAAAGATATTTCTCAGCTGTTTTCATTAAAAGGACTTAGAGGGCTGGGGTTGTGGCTTAGCGGTAGAGTGCTCGCCTAACATGTGTGAGGCCCTGCATTCGATCCTCAGCACCACATACACCATTTACAAGTAACTAACTAACTAACTAAATAAATAAATTTTTAAAAAGGACTTGGAACAATGACACTTCAGGACTGATGAGCTCATTTAGCACTCAGATCTGGGGCTCCAATACCATTCTCTGCTAAAAAAAAAAAAAAAATTAGGACTTCATGAGAAAAATACCTGATTCCAGGTCTAGAGAAGGAGCACTACATATTGAAACTAGAACATCTTCTTGTGCAAAAAAAGCAAGTACTCAAAACAATACAAGAGACATCTTGAGCACACACCCCCTCACACACACAGACACAACTAGGAAATTCAGGAACACTTGGAACATCAAAAAGAACACACAGAATAAAAAGAATCCATAAGCTCAGAGTGATAATCTAAGAGTAAAGGAGGTTTTTGAGAGAGGAGAAAGCTTATTTCGAAAAATCACCATTTTTCAAAAATGGTGGCTGGGGTGTAGTTCAGTGGTAGAGTAGTTGCTAGAGAAATCACCACCTAACAAGCATATTATATTATGGTAACAAAAAAGAATATTCTTGGATTTTTTTTTTAACTGGGGATTGAACCCAGGGGTGCTCAACCACTAAACTATATCCCTAGTCCTTTTTATATTTTTATTTGCAAACAAGGTCTCACTAAGTTGCTGAAACGGCCTAACACTTCTGATCTTTCTGTCTCAGTCTTCCAAGTCACTAGGATTATATGCATGTGCCAACCATGCCTGGCTTTTTATTGTATTTTTGAGACAGCATCTCACTAAGTTGCCCAGGATGGCCTTGAACTTGGGATGTTCCTGCCTCAGAATTCCAGTAGCTGGGATTATAAGTGTAAGCCATCATGCCTGGCTAAAACAGTACCTTCTTTCTTGGGAAATACACACTTAAATTTTGAGAATAAGTTCCACATATCATGTACCACCTTCTCTCATCACTTCTATTATTTCATGTCCGATTTGTTTTCCTGCCTGGTTTGTTTTCCTGTCTTCTTCCTTCTTTATTTCTTTCCTTTCATCCATCCATCCATCTATCCATCATTATATAGGCACAGAGAAATGACTAAAATGAGTTCTATAAAAATGGCAACTTCTAGGGCTGGGGTTGTGGCTCACATGCCTAGCACATGTGAGGCACTGGGTTCAATCTTCAGCACCACATATAATTAAGTAAATAAATAAATAAGGTATTGTGTCCATCTACAACTAATTTTTTTTAAATGACAACTTCTACCTAGAAATAGTAGATAAATTAAAATTTTTCTATTGAATGATACAAAAGCCATAAGGGCATTATTTTTTAAAGCATTATATCCAGCAATAAAACATACTTCTTCATTATTCCTTTCAGTTGCAAGACAGGTAGACTTTAGATTAAACCTATAGCGTCTGTTCTCACTCTGATTTTATGGGTTGATTATGACCAATGAACAGATAGATACACATTCCTATTGCAAATTACAAATATACAAAAAATATACAAATTCCTATTACCCAAGATTGATTTTTAAAATGATAACTATAATTTCCGCCTGATATCCCCACCCTGGGTCATGCCTTCCCACAGTAACTCTGGCCCTGGCCATCTAACTTCCTTTGGGCATTGAAACAACAGCAAATACATGGTAAGCAGAAATTTGAAATTCTTGTGTACTCTACTAAAATGTAAATAAGCTTCAGTGAGCCTGATAGACAGTAAATACTATGTATAATCATCAGATGTCTTACAGAGGCCTTCATAAATCAGCCAACCCCAGCTGCTACTATAACAACTGATCACAGAGCAAAGCTAAGGGACAAGGCCTGAAGAAACATCTAGCTGAGTGCAACTTAATGCCAACCTACAGAATCATGAATGAAATAAAATGACTGCTATTTTAAACCACAAAATCTTGCAGTGCTTTGTTAAGCAAC